CTGCAATTTGTGGCCCACAGACTGCCATTTTTGCAGATAAACCATGTATATTTTCCATCTCGAATACTTGACTTTGTTTCAATTAAATGAAATTGTTGTTCAGACACTAACAGTTTTATATGTTACTCTCCCTCAAGTCTAACCATCTGCAGCTCTAGTCATAAAATGGTATCACAGCTGCCTAGCATGTCAAACCAGGCCATGATCGAGATTAATGGGAGGATTCTTGCCTCTGATATAATGGGAAACCTGAAGAAACAATTAGCTTTTCTGGCAGAGAATGATGGGAGTGGTAGCTGTAAAGATTCTGGGTGCGTACAAAGGGCCAATACAGAACATATTCTATTTATTCTATGTCATACCATGTAATACTAATTTACAATTTTACAATGAAAGTTTCAAACATTAATATAAATTCCTAAGTTACATCTTGAGGGAAATTCACTGCTTCTGTGTTTTTGTTGCATTCCATTTCATTCTACATTATTTCTGAAGCAATTTTCAGAACTGTTTTTTTTAACACCTTTCCTACGACAAAATGCCTAGTGTGGGAGTCTGATAGCTATGTTGAGTGAGTGCTTTCGGTAAAGAGGGAAAAAAAAACATGTTTTTTGGACAGCCTCTTAGTTTGAGAGGTCTGCTTGGAAGTAATACAAATCGTCCTTAATATTTATAAGAGAGAGGAGGCCTGGGCATCTGTGGAAAGTGACGTTTTAAATGCTTCAGATATCCTGCCAATCATATAGTAAAATCTGGAAGGCAAGTCCAGCCACAGAAATGCCTCAAGTGTTATATTTTACAAGAGCTGTGCTCGGAGAAAGCAGTGTGGTCACAGAATCGAAAGGGACAGATGTATAAAACAGATGGAAAGACACAGATTATGAAGAATAGAAAAGGACATAATCGCTTAGCGTTCTTGGCCTGCGATAGAAAGGAAGTAATTTGCAGTGATTTCTACAATCAGTATTTTTTAGTAACTAATGCAAGTAATACATGCTTATCAGAGCCCGATTAATGCATATGTAGCTATGGCTGACTAATCAGCTAAAAAGAACAAATAGTTTTTTAGCAAGTGGGCAGCTGAGCATGAACCCGCCTGTTTCTTTAAACCTGTCTTGTCGTCCTTTACACTCACTTGCTTTAAATCAAGATTCTGTGTACTTGTGAATTGGTGGCTTCAGGCTATAGGACAGACTACGCTGGGGAAGAAAGGTTTTGGGGATTGGGTGTTTGAAGATGGGAAGATCTAAGATTATAAAATACGAGAAGAGGATCTGTGGAAAAAGAAAGAGGGATGGGAAAATAAAGGAAAACACTAGTTTTTTGAGAGAAAGAAAATCAGTGAGGAAGAAAGCTCACCTCTCAAATGCCCCTATTTAGGACACAGATTCCTTCTTTTCTAATATGTTCTTTATTTGTTATTTCACAATACAACTATAGTGATGTATACTTTAAGATATTTACTCAAAAGAAGAACAGAGAAAAAATAATTCAAAGCAATAAAATCTGTCTTTCATCTGAAGCAATAAAATATATAAAGTAATAATGAATAGGAATTCTAAGCAGGGGTAGTAGATTTAAATGTGGTGAGTGCAGAAATGTCTCCCTTAGAGTGTTATCTGATACAGTATTTGGTAAAAGAAAACAATCCGCAAACCCTGTCATCATAATTACATTCATATCTTCCTCCAACGTGTGTTAAGATATGCCATAACCAGAACTCTTAGGCAGCACTGTCATCAGAAATTTTGGGGCCTCTTACACATCTAAAGGCCTGGGCCCCTTAGGTTTGATCCGAGTCCTCCCACAATGATGGGTAAAGTGAATGTAATGTGTGTGTATGTGTGTAGTGGATGCAGCATGTGTAGTGGATGCATTGTGTGTGTTTTGTGTTTGAAGGGTTGGATAGGGGCAGTGGGGTTTGTGAGCAGTATCTTTTAAGATTATTCCCTATCTCTTACCTGTGGTCAGAAAGAGGAGACACCAGTGGCCCGATGGCACAATAGCTTGTATAGTAAAAAGGAGACCCAGTGGTCTCAACCTCTACCTCCGGCATGCGGCAGGTCCTCTTCCTCTTTTGTGAGCCCGACCGCTCGCTCTATGTACTTGCACACTGGGTGTATATGGCTCTTGGGTGACCTTACCCCGTACAACTATATGAGCTGTACCTTCCTGATGTGGTCCTGCGCTCAGGACAAGTCAAAAGATGAGCTATCATTGGAATCCCTACTCCTCACACATACACACACACTATTTTGACATTAAAAAAAGTGAACAGCACTCAACAACAATTTACATACGTTAATTGATAAGGTATTATGCAGAAATCCTTTTGTTACATGTATCTTTAAGGGAAAAAAGGAAAGATTATAGTGTAATACAGTAAAAATAGTAAATAGTAATAAAGATGTGCCAATGGAACACTTACATTTGGTAGAGCTACACAAGCTTTATAGTAGTAAACCTAGACAGTATATACCACGTCTATGGATATGGTGGTGAAGATCAATGAGCTTGATTCCAGGTAGGTATAACCAACATGTGGAAGGGAAACAAAAGACAAGAACCTCAATGGTATAGTATGTATGCAATGGGTAAACATGTAAGAATAAAATCCTACTTACATAACCTAGAGCAAGGACTTGCTCTAGTGTTCTGGAGCTTTAGGTGGAATACTTCCCATCTGATGATATGCAACGAACAGGACCAAGAGAAGAACCAAAGGCAAGGTAAGAATTCCAGGGACTGAATGGTAATTATCATTAGAAAAGTACTTTATTCATATAATATAAAAACAAACAACTTTTTTTTAGTTTGTTTTTATATTGTACACCGGTAAATTAAGTTTAAAAATATATATATATATATATGATTTCGTATTGCACTATTATCTGTCCCTATTTTTCTTAAAGATACATATAACAAAAGAAACTCTGCATAATACCCCATTATTTCCAGCATTGTTCAGCGCTGTTCACCTCTTTTGTTTGTTTGGTTTGATTTGCACAAGGTTGGGGGAACTCCTTGTGGGTGAACTGCAGCTACCCTATCTGATAGCAAGCACCTATTCTTTTGGTACTATTTTGACATTGATGTTTGTTATATAATAAGAAATAGGCTCCTGTGTTTAAAGGGATTCTATAGTGCCAGGAAAACAAACCCGTTTTCCTGGCACTATGGGTTCCTGCAGTACCCCCCTCCCTCGCGCCCACTCCCCTCTCGCGGTGCTGAAAGGGTTAAAATCTCTTCACTTACCTGAATCCAGCGCCGATGTCCCCGCGCTGAGTCAGGCTCCGCCCACGCTCTTCCCCCTCTGAAGTCAGCTTAATGCACATGTGTGGCAATAGCCATGCTCGAATTAGGATTTCCCCATAGGAAGGCATTTTTTTTTAAAAAAAAAATGAGTTTCCCTGTATTATCAGACATGTCCTAGCGGCACTACTATCCTGCATGAAAGTGAAAAATATGACAATAGAGAGTCTATTTAAAATTATAGAATCCCAGAGATATAACTCTTAGTTTTCAGACTAGTTCTGGTAGGCTCTACTTCGCAGCAACTCAGACACTACTGGTGACTACAGAAGGGATGCATCAAACTCTCACAATTTTGCCCCAAATGTACTAAGCATTGTTTGGCAATAAAATTTACATTTCACCTAAACCAGCTAATGGAACACTTTTTCAAACCTTTCAGATGTGGACTCATCACAGAGATTGTAGACTCCACCATGGCGATTCTAGACTCCATCACATATGTTGTCAAAAACGTTCATCCCCACCTGTGAATTACAACCAAATTCTTCCCCACACTTCTCAATACCCCTTGATACTCCCATTTCTCAGGACTGAAATTATCATAGATGTTAGCATGTGACATATTTCTTTCCAAATAAAAATGAAAAATACTTTATCATATATTATCATGCATTGCCTTAAGACACTTTACCTACGCCTAGCCTTTATAAAAAGTTTATATATTTCACTGGTGTTAGTAGTGCACTATAGTGTCTACACTCTTATATCATGTTCTGTGAAATATTTATGTGGGTGTACTCCTTACTTTTTTGAACCATGTAGCTAATTATAACCAATGTGTTTAAGAAGTCTCTGTTAGTATACTGCTATTTTCAGTAGTTTACCTACTTTATATGTGGCTTTCAATTATTTTGTCTGTTTACATCAGTGGTAGTCAACCTTTTTCCACTTACCGCCCACTAATGCATCTTTCTTGATGGAAAAATTTCCTTACCGCCCACCAGTTTTCGCGCAAGCGCGGAATATTTTTTAGAAAGGAGGGTGTTTTAAAAAATACATAAATGAACGTACATTTATCTTTTTATTTCTACTTTATGCATGTTTATAATGTTTTTAACTTTATAAAGTTTAATGAGGAAGCAATAAAGTAAATTGAACTTACCTTTACTAGTGATTAATGAGATCCTTGAGGTTGATGCTGCGAGACTAAATATTTGATATCTGGTTCGATTTTCATAAGGAACAAACGAAGGTCTCCTCTTTCAGTGATAATCGGAAGACTTCTTTGTTTGCTCATAAAATGATTTCTCATCTGTGCGTCAGCTCCCCTCCTCTCCCTCCTCAATTCCCCTTCCCACCTTTTTCCCCTTTTTTCTATTTTTTAACCTTCCTTATAGCAATGCCCAGTAGGAAGGCTGAGCTAGGTAGCCCACTTACTATTATTAGTCAACAACAATTCTCTCCTTTTCCTTTTCTTTCCTTCTCCTTTTTTACAAGTACTCTACTCCTTCTTTCCTCTATACTAGAAGTACTCTACTCCTTCTTTCCCCTATACTAGAAGTACTCTACTCCTTCTTTCCCCTATACTAGAAGTACTCTACTCCTTCTTTCTCCTATTCTACAAGTACTCTGCACCTTCTTTCTTCTATTCTACAAGTACTCTGCTCACAGGCAAACACATACACACACACACACACACACACTCACATTGAAACACATACACACAAATATACACATACTCACACATGCACTTACAGACACTCACACATGCACAGACAGACCCACAGACACACACACACTTACTGACACACACACATACACTTACAGACAGACACATACACTTACAGACACAGACACACACATACACTTACAGACACAGACACACACATACACTTACAGACACACACACATACACTTACAGACACACACACATACACTTACAGACACACACACATACACTTACAGACACACACACATACACTTACAGACACACACACATACACACACACACACATACACTTAGAGACAAACACATGTACACACAAATTATTAATATTAAATATCCACCCAGCCTCCCTACCTGGAGAGCTGGTGTGGATCTGTCCCTGGGGTCCAGTGGGGCTTCACTTAGGCGGGCGGCTAATCAGACGCAGCGAGGGAGCTCTAACCTCTCTGCTCTGCTCCCTCGCGGACTGTCTACGGATGCCGGGAGCCGGAATATGACATCATATTCCGGCTCCCGCGGCATCAGCAAACATCGCGCGAGGGAGCAGAGCAGAGAGGTTAGAGCTCCCTCGCCGCGACTGATTAGAACGCTGCCATGCCGGGGGGTCCAGAAGGTGGCCTGGCAGGAGGGAGCGCTTCCTCCTGCCGGTCACTGAAGACTTGCGCATGCAGAGCCGCTCGCGCCCGCCCAAAAGGAGAAATCCTCTTAAAAAGAGGATTTAGCCTCAGAAATCCCTACCGCCCACCTGGAATCCTAAAACGCCCACTAGTGGGCGGTAGGGACCAGGTTGACGACCCATGGTTTACATATTACAGACTAAATGCTCTTTTGTGTTGTTTTACTTTTTATCCACTCAAGTGTTTAAAAAAAAAAAAAAATTATCACAAACATATGAGAATTGGCCCCTTTTGCCTTCTGCTTTAATTTGTTCTGATTAGCTCCATCAGTGAACAGTGATTTAAAAAATCCATAAGATCATGAAATAAATATTTTCCCAGTATTTTTTTTATGCATCAGTACTCATGTGCATTCAGTGCAAATGTGAAAGTTCAATCAAAGTGGAAACCAAAGATTTTGACAATCCTTACTTGACAAATGTAAACCCGCTGCACTAGACCATCAATTTGTATCTTGGCTCATCCCTTGCAACAAACCATTTTCTGTGTTTCCTTATTTTCTGTTATTGAACCCAGTTTGTGTACTTGTTACCGAGCCAGAGTTGCCTGTTCAACCATGAACAACCAGACTTTAAGTTTTCTTTTCTTTTAAGTTCAACTTCACGGTGGGACTGCGAGAATGATTTCCTCTGTATAGTGCAGTAGTGCTGCAATATGACTTCTAATAAAGTAACCGCGGATCTTTTGACTTATCTTTCTTAGATTGAATCAATTTCTGTTTTTGTACAATATTTAACATGTTATTGAGTTTAGACCAGCCTGGGGAAGGGGTACAGAAATAATAAAGAGCCCCCCTGCCCCTATCCAACCCTACAGAGAAATATATCATATCAATAAATTACAGTTTCTTGTCTCTTGTGTCACTGCGGGTGATTCACAATAATACATTGGACGTGAGTTCATTACAGGACAGGGAAGCTCTTGCGGGATGCCCCATTCCCCCCAATATTTTTACTGCAGATAAGATTTGCTCTATCCATGTTTGTAGCCACAATACATAGCTCAGCATTAAACAATTTGTTTTGGCTTTATAGAGAATATAAATATGTAAAGCAATATGTGCATGTTGTTAAATTGTTAATCATATTAATTGTGAAAATTAACATCAAATATACGTGGAGGAGGGATATCTCTGTATACATATAGAGAAGCTTTTTTATTCATTGGTATGAAACTTGAAGCCATGAATATTGTTTGTGAATAAACAGAAAGAAAATACATACAAATTATTGTAACACAATGAAGAAAGAATAAAGACTTAAAATATGTATTACTCTGAGAACAATAAGGATCTGGAAGTACCTACCTGATGTTTTATTAGATATTGTCTTTTCATTTAATTTTGTTTTCAAAAAAAGATTGGATGTTTAGAAGGACACTATAGGCACCCAGACCACTTCAGCTAATTAAAAACCCAAATCCCCATAGGAAAGCATTAGGTCGCCGACACTGGCCAACATCAGAGAAGGAGGAACGGAGGCGGAGCCTGACCCAGTGCCGAAGGGCATCGGCGCTGGATCCAGGTAAGTGACAAAAAGGATCTGCGCTGGTGGGTGGGGGCACACAAGCGAGGGGGAAACTGTACAGAGCTATAGTGCTTGGAATACGATTTTATAGTTTACCTTTAAAAGTGTAAAATACATAGTGTTATATCCAGGTCCAGAGCAAGGAATTCTGCCGCCCTAGGCAAAGATCCATTTTTCTGCCCCTCATGAGATAGTTCCATTGCGTCACAAGTTTATCCACTAAACATCAAAAGGGACATTTTACTATTTTTAGTTTTTAACAATTTATTCAATATACCCCCAAAGAAAACATGTTATTTTTGTTTTTCTTCAAGCCCATAGTTTGTGCCAGGTAATACTCCAATCATAGGCTTTTCATTGAGACGAAGCCTCTGTGCTGAAGCTGCAAGTAAGCGCATTAACATTTGATTCCTGTGTATCCCATTGAGTTCTAGTTCAGCTCATTGAGAAAGGTGGAAGGCAGCTAGTCTGCCTCTTCTGATAGCTCTGTGGAACTAAAGACCTGTGGAACTAAAGGAAGTGGAAGAAAGCCTTCCCGGCTGCTTGAGTGACAGACAGGGGGGTTTTTGCCCCCAATTATAAAAGGGTCAATTTCTATTGAAATGGTCACTTTTAAAAACTGCCAAGAAACTAACAGACTACAGATTTATAAAGTATATCAACAAGCTAACATACTTTATATACGTGAATTATTCCTTTCTCTTAGCAAAACTAGTATTTGTACACTTACTTTTACTAAGAGACTTACACACAACCTTCCCTCAGTTTTTTCCCCCTTTAATTACAGTCTCCATCTCTGCTTACTCTTCTCTACTTAATCTGCCCAGTCTGTCACTGCTTTTGTTTTTGATTTTTAGTGTCTCCATCTCACCTTAGTTGGAAAAGAAAAGTTTTAACCCACATTTTAAGCTTTTAGAGACTTATCAAATCACTGTTCAGTGAATGGACCCTCACACACAAACTGCCTAATACATGCACACATACACTGCCAAATACACATACTGCTGAATACATATATACACCAACACACAAACTGCCTAATATACACACACACTGCCTTACACACACAAACTGCCTAATACAGGGAGTGCAGAATTATTAGGCAAATGAGTATTTTGACCACATCATCCTCTTTATGCATGTTGTCTTACTCCAAGCTGTATAGGCTCGAAAGCCTACTACCAATTAAGCATCTTAGGTGATGTGCATCTCTGTAATGAGAAGGGGTGTGGTCTAATGACATCAACACCCTATATCAGGTGTGCATAATTATTAGGCAACTTCCTTTCCTTTGGCAAAATGGGTCAAAAGAAGGACTTGACAGGCTCAGAAAAGTCAAAAATAGTGAGATATCTTGCAGAGGGATGCAGCACTCTTAAAATTGCAAAGCTTCTGAAGCGTGATCATCGAACAATCAAGCGTTTCATTCAAAATAGTCAACAGGGTCGCAAGAAGCGTGTGGAAAAACCAAGGCGCAAAATAACTGCCCATGAACTGAGAAAAGTCAAGCGTGCAGCTGCCACGATGCCACTTGCCACCAGTTTGGCCATATTTCAGAGCTGCAACATCACTGGAGTGCCCAAAAGCACAAGGTGTGCAATACTCAGAGACATGGCCAAGGTAAGAAAGGCTGAAAGACGACCACCACTGAACAAGACACACAAGCTGAAACGTCAAGACTGGGCCAAGAAATATCTCAAGACTGATTTTTCTAAGGTTTTATGGACTGATGAAATGAGAATGAGTCTTGATGGGCCAGATGGATGGGCCCGTGGCTGGATTGGTAAAGGGCAGAGAGCTCCAGTCCAATTCAGACGCCAGCAAGGTGGAGGTGGAGTACTGGTTTGGGCTGGTATCATCAAAGATGAGCTTGTGGGGCCTTTTCGGGTTGAGAATGGAGTCAAGCTCAACTCCCAGTCCTACTGCCAGTTCCTGGAAGACACCTTCTTCAAGCAGTGGTACAGGAAGAAGTCTGCATCCTTCAAGAAAAACATGATTTTCATGCAGGACAATGCTCCATCACACGCGTCCAAGTACTCCACAGCGTGGCTGGCAAGAAAGGGTATAAAAGAAGAAAAATCTAATGACATGGCCTCCTTGTTCACCTGATCTGAACCCCATTGAGAACCTGTGGTCCATCATCAAATGTGAGATTTACAAGGAGGGAAAACAGTACACCTCTCTGAACAGAGTCTGGGAGGCTGTGGTTGCTGCTGCACGCAATGTTGATGGTGAACAGATCAAAACACTGACAGAATCCATGGATGGCAGGCTTTTGAGTGTCCTTGCAAAGAAAGGTGGCTATATTGGTCACTGATTTGTTTTTGTTTTGTTTTTGAATGTCAGAAATGTATATTTGTGAATGTTGAGATGTTATATTGGTTTCACTGGTAATAATAAATAATTGAAATGGGTATATATTTGTTTTTTGTTAAGTTGCCTAATAATTATGCACAGTAATAGTCACCTGCACACACAGATATCCCCTAACATAGCTATAACTAAAAACAAACTAAAAACTACTTCCAAAAATATTCAGCTTTGATATTAATGAGTTTTTTGGGTTCATTGAGAACATGGTTGTTGTTCAATAATAAAATTAATCCTCAAAAATACAACTTGCCTAATAATTCTGCACTCCCTGTATACACACACACTGTCTCACACACACATACTGCCTAATATACACACACACTGACTGCTTTACATACACAAACTGCCTAATACACACACACACTGCCTCATACACACAAACTACCTGATATACACATACACACACTGCCTCACACACACAGACTGCCTAATATACACACACACTGCCTCACACACACAAACTACCTGATACACACACACACACTGCCTAACACACACAAACTACCTGATATACACACACACACACTACCTCGCATTGCAATATATTATTATTATACATATAATACATACATACATCAACACATACATACTGTCTCGTACTCACACTCACTGCCCAATACATACACTCACACAATCTGTCTAATAGACAGACACTGCCTAACACATACACTCACACAAACTGTCTAATAGACAGGCACTG